CAGTATGTACGGTTTAGTGGTGGTTCAGTGATGGTCTGGGGAGGCAAATCCATGGAGGGACGCACAGACCTGTACAGGCTAGACAACTGCACACTGACTGCCATTAGGTATCGGGATGAAATCCTTGCACCCATTGTCGGACCCTATGCTGGTGCAGTGGGTCCTGGGTTCCTCCTGGTGGATGACAATGTCCGGCCTCATGTGGCGAGAGTATGCTGGCAGTTCCTGGAGGATGAAGGAATTGATACCATTGATTGGCCCCCACACTTGCCTTAACTAAATCCAATAGAACACCTCTGAACATTATATTTTGATCCATCCGACAGCACCAGGCTGCACCTAAGACTGTCCAGGAACTCAGTGATGCCCCTGTCCAGATCTGGGAGGAGATCACCCCATGTCTCGCTAACATATTGTGGCTTCAGCTGAAGACCAGTGTTCCTCGACTATCAGACCAGGTGGTAGGGGAGTAGGGGAGTTGGATGCTTAAATCATCTCTGGCACAGGGATTTGACGTCAGGGGTGTCACTCTTACTTCGTCATTGACATTTGATCTTCAACACTCAAAGAGTTAAAAAAGTGACAGCCATGCCTTTTTAGCTCATAGGGCTAAAAAGACATTGACTGTCCCTGTCCACATAAGCACTAACACTAACACTGGTTATGGATCCAGTACATTTGATTCTGTCAATCTGTTGAGAAACTTTTGGTCTTACCATCCAGGTGGAGGTTAGTTTGACACTCACTAGGTACTGCCTACATTAGCAGGTTGTTGTAATTTCAGTCTTGTAACTTAAAAGAATTAAAACACTGCTATTAGTATTTTTGTACTACTGTAAGTACCAAAGCAGAACTACAAAAGTCTAGTACACCACAATGGTATGAACCTTTTTTAACAACAGATTATTCACTAAACGTTTCATTAGGCAGTTCATAATATTCTACCTTACTAAGACATCAGAATGAAATGACCTTTTATTCTGTTGCTTAAAACAATTTTTAATTTTTTTTATGTAATTCTGAAACTTTAACTGATTCAATATCTATCAATCAATCCATTTTCTATACCCAGTTCTCCTGTACAGGGTTAGAGTTCCCTATCTCTAGAGGTCTACAGGTGGGAAACGGTATACTCTGGACACTTCAGCGGTCCAACTGCACCACTATTTAGTAAAACTGTCATTCTGCATGTTGTCAAATTAAATCGTATTTAGGTGTGAATTAGTTAGCTATTTTTTTTTTATTTGTTATGCATGACACCAGATTTTAAAAGGAATTTGTTTTACCTGTTTAAAACATTACTGTATTATACAGTTTAGTAAAAGCGGAAACAAATGAAATTTGATCAAACCACTCATTTCTATGTTTTATTGCATTGATTGGAAAAAATACTCACAGTTATTCAGTGAGCAACAATACAAAGAAAAAAGTGTGGTGTAATACTGAAACTTTTTTTTAAAGAAAACAAATTATCATCATTGCTCTCTATTCATCCTTAGGCTAACCCTGTGTATTTATCACCTCATTTGATCAGACCGTTAAGTTATACAAAACAAAATAACCAGAAAGAACAAGAGTATTTTCACGGTCTGTATCAAAGCAATTACAAAAATAAAAACTTTTAGGTCCCAATTTTTAAAAATTTGCAATCAAATCCTTCAGGCTATTAAGTAACAAGTCCAAGCACAGAAGTTAACATACTGTATTGCACTCAATACAAACATGCCTATAACTTCTGTTTGCTCTGTGCAAATAAGATTAGGTAATCCAACATTTATTGTATAAACTAGTGCATAGTCATGCTTGACATGTTCACGTGTAACATGCACAAACAAATACAAAATTCAATGTGATTCTCTGCTAAAACTGATTTCAGTTGAAAAAAATCATATTAGAGATATTTACAAACAAGACATAAGAACATACCACTTGAAAGAGGGGAAGACTTATATTTGATAGATTAAAAGATGAACCCCATTCAATAAAAGTAGCCGCTTCAATATTCTACACATTCACATTTTGCAGAGAATGACATATCTTCATTTTCCTCTTACTTTTTTTTTACTTCATTGTCATTGTACATACATTGGACAGTACAACACAGGGACAAAGATAACAAGAATCTGTCCAACCTGTCTGGGAAGCTGTTTGAAGGGATTCATAAGCTCCCAAGAACATTTATACATTAGAGAGAATATTGACAATACACAATCAACAACACCATTCTTGACAGAAAAATTGACATTTCCTACAGGTGGACATTTCATGCTTTCAGGTCCTACAATGACTTATATGGAAGATTTTACTTGAAGTAAATTGTAGACTATTAACAGCTTAGACATGTCAGAAAAACAAGTGCAGTATTTAATTATTATGGTCATCTGGCTTTCAGTGTAACCAAATCTATAGAAAGTTTAGTGCATTTGTCCTTTCTTCCATGTCATGAGTCACAGTCAGAGCTACAACCTAAGCAGAAAGTACACTTCAGGTTCAGATTCTGAATGAGCGTTGTTTCCAAATGGGATAGAGTCATCTGTATAGTACCGATCTCGAAAACGGTCAACATTGCCATAATGTACTGATGTGCAGGCTCCTTCTGGTAGCCCCCTGTCCTCCAAATCATCAAGGTAGCCTGCTATGTAGGAGCCAGTAGAGTGTCTGTCAGGTGGTTGATTCTGCACAGGTTTATTCCTCAGTACCACTCCTCCAGTGCTGTCATCACTACTCATCACCACTCCTGGCCTAACTTTTTGAGCCTCTTGCTGTCTCTCACGGGCACGGCTGTTAATGTGGCGCACTCTGCTTTGGCTTCGGGAAGACAGACGTCGGGTAAGTATTGGAGGAGGGGAATCATCTATATTTCTTTGAGCAACTTGAAATGCACTTATTTCTTGAGGTTGTGACTGTTGGCTATTTGCTTCTTGTTGCACCTGAGGAGATTGGGGTCTTTCTCTGAGACCATCATCTAACTCCAAGCTAACCAGTTTGCGTAACTGCTCTGTAAATGGATCACAAGACTTTGTGCGAAAAAAGTGTTTGCCTGATATGTCTTTAGGCTTTTGCCTTGTTGTATGAGGAGTAAAGAAACTGCGACTAATGATATGGTATTTACTTTGAAAGTTGCATGAAATGTCTTCAGAGGTCAAGTCTCCCAGGGACTTAGACTTGCATGGCTTATGGTCTGTGGAATCTATGATAGAAGACTGGAGATAAGCTGATGAAGGTCTCAAATGTGAACGAAGTGAATGTCTTACTTTAGATTGCTCATGGTTTCTGTGTTCAGCAGGGCTGTTCTTATATTTGCAAGTCTGTACATGGTGCTCTTGACCTTGGCTAGGTAGTTGGATGTTTTGAGAAGTTATAAACTCTGTGGAGGGCATATTGCAACCATAGTCTGGTTGACTATGTTCATAATCAGAGGAAGGAGAGTAAAGAGGTCTTTGCCTACACCTATTCTGTGGTGTGGCACATTGTCGTGGAAGGCTTTCTGCAGAAGAAAAACCATGGTAAAAGTCTCCGGTTTCTCTGTTTTTCTGATTGATTTCCGTTCTTTCTTGATGAGATCTACTAGAAGTCATGGTTGATTTACAGCTTCTTAAGTCAGATGTTTTGCTGTAGTTAAGGACCCCAAAGTTGCTCTGAGTTAAGGAGTAACTATTCTGAGGAAGGGGACTAGGGTTTGTGGGTCTAGAGTCTACAGATCTCTGATGTCTTAGCTCTGAGTTTTTTTGTTGATGGGCATTTGAGATTTGATTGCATTTTATGACATTACTCACTGGAAATGTGTGCTTTGAAGGGGCTGCATGAAATGATTTTGTTGGGAATTGTGGAGGAGAATATGAAAAATCATGTTTTGGCTGGAAATAGCTAGGAGAGAAGTCATGATTTTGGAAAACAGCTTGGCATTTTACTGGACTTGAAAGCTCAACCCACATCTTGCTGTTGTTTGATATAATCTCAGATGGATCATCAACATTTAGCTCCACTTCTGTAAATGACTCTTCAGTAGAATGGTGGAGGATCTGAACAAGGTCAGAGGAGGAGGACCTTATGTACCTTTTAGAAGTACCCTGCAGTTCTCTAGGTTCTGCATCTGAAGCATATTTTACCTCCTCATACACCCTTTCCTCTAGCTTCAAATCTTCTTCACTCTCACCCCACAGTCCTCCTACACCGTTCAAGCCCAGCCTGCTTCCTGTCTCTTTCCCTAGGTTTTGAGTTGTTTTTACAGGTGAAGAAGCTATACTGCTTGAAGGTGTGCTTCCTGTAGTATCTGCCTGAACATGAACTGTCTGCTTCCTCAGGTTGTACACAGAAACTGGTGTCAAAACCTCCTCATCCAGAATAGTGTAGACCTCTTCAAGTTCAGCAGTTTCTGGGTTCGAGATGAGACCTAGAGAGGTTTTACTTACTTGGTAAGCCTTTTTGTGTGAACAACTTTCATTATTCATATTTGTTGGCTTTTGGTGATTCATGAAAGATTTATTTTGAGACGATGCCATTTGGGCTATAAAAGGACATGTTGATTCCTCTTGGAGTTTAGGTGAGGTGGGTCTGAAGTCCAAAGTCTGGGATGGGGGAATGTTCTGGGATGATGTATTTAGATTCTTTTGGTCAGTAGTCATTTCAAACTGCTCAATCAGAGCAGAAACAGAGCAAGACATTTCCTGTTCATTGTCTAAAGATACAGCATCAATGAGTCTGGAAATAGTGCTGTCATGCAAAACACCAGGACTTTTAAGAACACCATTTGCTCCAGAAACTGTAGCCAAAGATGAAATGGCAGACGACGAGGAGGAGGACACCGATGGTGCAACTGTGAAAGTTGTACTATTTGATGATGTTTCTGGTTTATCTAATGTTGCCTGACTGTTTGTTGAAATTGACATAGCAAATGTTTCCCTTGTTTCTTTAGGGAAGTTGTTGGATTTACTTAGACCTGACTGGTAATTGACATATACTTCCTCCTTTGTTGTTTCTCCACCGCCAATAACCAGGTAGGAAGTCTCGTCTGGTCGATCATGCTCTTTCTTTCTGTTTGTCTTTGAAGGGATATAAATGTTCTTTTGAACAGAAACAGATGATTCTGTAAAAACATTCATGGAGGAAGACCTGGGTCTCTTGAATCCAGAAGCTCCTGTTGACACAGAAAAGGCAAAAAAAGCTCAATAAAGATGGTTAACATATCAAACTAAATACAGAACTTAAGGTACCAGTTCAATTAGCCCCTTCGCCTATTCGCACCAAACATTTCTTCAACCTATTCTGAAAGATTGACAATTGTGTAGTAATTTATTGATAATGTTAGTTATGCAATATAACTTTAGAATCAAACAAAAACATACAGTATAGCAAATTAATTTAAAAAATCATTCAGTTCTATTCTTTTCTAATCTACATATTGTAAACAATCACTTCATTTGTTTTATTTATTTTTTTAAGTAACCATTTTTTAGAAAAAGAATAAATTAGTTGCTGTTGCAGCAGGTATAGATCTGAATCACATCAAAAAATCTTGTCAAGAAAATTTTTAACTTTACGAAATGGCAAAGGGGCAAAATGATGAACACCCAGGCTATCAAGCTTACAAGCACTTTTAGTACGACAGTTTATGGGTCATTCATTCCAAGACAACATCTATACACAAGCAAATGGATGACCGACAACAACAAAGGAAAAGCTGAAAAATGGGTATTGAACATCGGAAACAAAAAAAAAAGAAAAACAAAAAAAAGACACATTTATAAATATAAAACATGGAAGAAATTTTAAACTGGGGTTGATCTGGTAAAATGGTAGCAAATGGCACATTGATATAGCTTTCAGACCATTTCCAAACCAAATACACTGGGTGAACGCAATGCCAGTCGGCTTTGAACAATGCCATCTCCAGACAACAGTATTTCTCATTACCTGCAGGAAATTCCTAGTCAGTTCTCTACTATAAAGAAACACAACAAATGTAGATTGGACAGAAAAAGCATATTAATGTCTCATAGCAATTAGGCTGAGGTCTCAATTCACATGGTTACTTTGCACGTAGTTTGTTGAAGGAGAAAGAGGGAAAATGCATTTCAGTGAAATCAGGGTTAGGATAGTTGTTACGACATTATTACCATACTTTATGTTGGATGAAAAATTATAGATAGGGCAAATTTTAAAGAGTAGGTTGCATGTAAATTGCGTTAGTGTGAAGAATTTTCAAATTGGCTAAGCGCAAAAATACTCACCGGTGATAGAGTCTGCACCAATGTCATTCTCTTCGTTGTCTGGGGCACAGATAGACAACTGCCCTTGCAGTAACCTGTCTAAAGGCATGGAAATGGGTCTATGGATAAGAGGCGCTCGAGGCTGAAGTGGCTTCTCTGCTCCCTCTGCCCTCACTGAGGGGCCTTCTCCTCCTGATGCCCCTGCATCAGCACCATTGCCATGATCAGATATCGAAGCCACTGACTCAGATAGAGCCATTTTTGTCTTCTTCCTTCCCTTTGCTGGTGCGCTGGCTGTTCGTCGCAGGAGGTGATCACTAATGGAGCGTTTCCGAAGACCAGAGGTGTTTGTGTCCACAGAGGACTTGGAGGACCGGTTGAAGAACCCTCTTATACCACGTAGTTGATGATTCTAGTAAAATATGCATTCATAGAGAAGGGAAATGAAAAATCCGCAAAAGAGATGTACAGCTGTATTCTACTACAGTGTACATTAGAATAACACTAAAAGTGATCGTACATCAGTTATTCAATTCAAAGAGTAAGAAACATTATAATTACAACTTACAGTAAAACTCCCAAAATCAGTTTCCCATATTTTATAAAAGGAAAATAAGTACAACAAAGAATATTTATTTTTACCTATTAATTGTAAATAGGGTTTCCGAAAGGGTGTAAAGTCATGATAACCCCCAGTTTGCAAGGTTTTAAGTTAGCAAGATTGTCGAAACCACTTACTACTCTAATTTATGTTAGTGGTTTGGTTAATAATGTTTGTTTTGATTTGTCAATAATTTATTTTCTCTATTATAGTTCCTGACAAGCAATTTTGAGCTTTCTGCTTGTTTACATCAGCCATGGTATCACAAAGTTGTCATCTATTTGTCTAATGTCAAATTAAGGCCTCAGTGTTTGCTCGAATATACAATCAGCAATATTTCCGTTTTGTTGTTTTTATTTAAACCCTTACTAAAATGCTCTCAATAGAAATAGTAGAATAGGAAATCTCAGAGGCTATGTGGTCAGGGGCTTAAATACTAGCGTCTGCCAAGACAAATGCTAGATCTGCGCAGAAAAACATGGCAAGCAGGTAAAAGCTGTTACTGGGAAGGGTTTGCAAATGTAAACAGCTTAAGAAATCCCATGATTTAGCCCATAAAAACCATCACTATCAACAGATTGTGAAAAAACTCCTGGAAAGATATGATAGTGGCTCTTTGACTGCATGAAAAGGCTTTGACAAAGTTGTATACGGCTGGGTTTTGTACTTCCTCATATAGTTTGGTGTTGTGAGCTTGCCCTTTGTGTTGTTTAGATGATTTGAAGCAAAGACGTGTCTCAGAGGTAAGAAACACCGGACTTCAAGAACTAGGATTGGAGACCCCTACTCTACAGGGTTTTTATTTGGTGGATTTCATTACATGCTGCAGCTATCATTAAATTTGTCTTTTGTCTAACACATGCATGAAATTTTCTGGGAAAATGCATTTTGGGTTTTTATTTGCTGTAAGCATAAATCATAAAAATAAAAAGACAAAAACATGAAAATATTACTCTGTAAGTAACATCAGTTAAACTTTTTTTAACAGAATTATTGAAACACACCTTTATAATAAATACACTGTAAAACAAATAGATATTACAAGCTGAACAGAAGCTTCTAAAGGTACTAATTAAATAAAGTTGTATTTAGTGATAGAACATTAAATGATGCCATGAACCGGCTAGATGTCACCCAGATGTCACTAGATGTCATTGTTACATCTTGGTGTAGCATACTTGATGCAGGACGATATTAATTTATACATACAAACGGCACATCTGAAGCATGCATTATTTTTTCATGCAGCACACAGAGAGCTCTGGGGCTCAGTATACCTTGCTAGCTCCTAAAAAGTGCATTATGGTAAAGCTTGGGTTCAGGACAAGAGGGCTCCACTAGAGAGACAAAGAGTGGATGGAGCAAAGCCTCAATTTACTGATGTGTTTATAAAAACAGAAATTTTGTTGTGATTATCTTAATAAAAAAATTTACTTAAAAAGGAGGCTAATGGGAAACATTGAAGAACACCTACCTTCCCATAAACATCATGCACAGACACATGCACAAAAATGGAAGCTTCCGTCAGTCCTTCCAGGTAAACATGCCTGTAACCTATGAGGGATATTGAGAAGTGGGCAAAAGGGCAACAACTGTTAACATATTTTTGATTGTAAAATAACTGATTCAGGTGAGCTAGTCTGAAGGTTCAGGGTCAACTCTTATGAGCACTAAACCTAACCTGCTATGTAAAATTTTCATTTTATTGAGAAATATAGATAATTATCATTATATATTTACATTGGTATTGCAGTAGCCACAATCAAATTGATTCATTAAAGTAAACCATATCACAGGGTTTCAATCAAGTATTAAGGAGAAAACACAGACCAGGCATCAGACTGCTGAAGGCCACAGTCCGTTGACCGATGAAGTCTCGTCCGATCGGGTCATGGTCCCAGACAAGGAAACGCACAAGTGCCAGCTCAGCCATGTGAAGTGTGAAGGAAAGAGTCTCCTCCCACACTGGATTGAAACCTGAAGACAGAACATGTTCATAATGAATACCATCTTCATTATTCCTATTATGTCTTAAATTCCAACCTGTTAGATTGATATTTAGTTGCTCAAATAATATACTTTTTTAATAAATCAATCCTAATTACTGAACATTTCTTGAAGAGTTGTTTTTTTTTCAGAGCTCAGATCAACCATAGTGGCAAATTTGAACAAGTCAGAACTTTTTTTGTTTGCTATTATGCAACTGCTATTAGCAGTTAGTGATTTGAATTCTAGAGATTCAAAAAAAAGTAGAGCTCTGCACAACATCACGCTGGGTGAGCCCCTCCTTCTTTGCACAATATTCATAAATATCTCTTATAAATGATATACAACAACCATAATTCTAAGTTTTAAGAAGTTTCACGTAATTCAGCCATTTTTTAAAGAATAGAAAGTAGAAAGTGTAGTATATTAGTTTGTCTCAATTTAGAGTTGCTTCAACACTAAATAAAAAAATAAACCATTGGAGAGTACTTTCTGTGTTTTTACAAAAAGAATACATTTTTCACAAACCTTTGAATTGGTTTCAAAAATCTCTTCAGTGCAGAATATACAAGTTGAGGATTTTACAAACTTCTTTGGCTTTTGAGCACGAGTTGATCAAATGCAGGCTAAATTCTCACCACTACTCTTTCACACAAACCCGAGAATAATATTCATTCTTAAGCACATCTGACATTTGCCATAAAAATTTTGAGCTGTTCAAAACTTTGCTCCTGAACTCCAGGATCCCAAAATTACTGCTAATTCTTTACAAATGTGTACTTTATTCTAAAACATAATGACATATTCCTCATTGATTTACAGACTGTTATTTATCCTTAACTTAATTATGGATTCCTGGTAAACATAAGTGGTGCCATTTTCACATAGTTGCCTCATTCTCATCTTTCTCCCTCAGTTCCTGGCTAAGTCTGTTTTAGTTACATATTCTAGGATCTACTCCACTGCCACTAGTAAAGCTAAACATTCATTTTTGAAAAAATGCCCAAAAATAAATGATTGCAAATCTTAATGGAAAACACCAGACTCTTTTTAAAATCATGAAAATTTAAGATCTAATGTAATCTAAATATAAAATACAATTAGCTCATTTTTATTCAATTCATAAATCTTAATAGAATCTTGTTTACAGTGCTGAATTATTGGCAACATTCTTGGAAATCAAGATGAATCTGACTATATTTCTTATTTATCCTACCATTGTAGCAAGTGAAACTTAGGATACAGAATTCCAAGAATCATCAGGAATCCCAGAAATCCCTGTTTGAAATGGTAGCTTAAGCATTAAGCATATTGGCTCTGTGAGATAACAAATGTTTGAATCCCAAATAAAACTCAAGGTATAAGCAGCACAAAAAATGTGAACCAGCAACAACCACCTGCCCCTCAATCCCGGCCACCCATAACTAATGTCGCAAAAGTTTTAAGTACACAGTGATAAGAAGTTAAAGCTTGTTCAGACAACTACAAACATATTTCTCTAAAGTGCCAAGTGAAGGACAAAAGCATTTTTGTCTGTTTCTCACAGACAAAAATTCTAGGAAATACTAGGGAAATCTAGGAAAATACTGCGCAGTGTGTTTTTTTTTTAAGTACTACATAATTACATAAGTATGATTCAATTTTAGGTTATATTTAGAAAAAAAATGCTTAAAGAATGTTTTTGAACAAAGCTAATGTAATATTACATTTCAAATAAACAGTGCTGTAAAATGAGCTAAGCAAGAAATATGAAGTGTGCTTTTCTTACCATTGTCATCAACAACTCTCGTCTGTTCCTTGCAGCAGTCAATGGGTAAACCAATGATCTCCACTTCAACGAATGGATCAATAATCTGAAGGAAAAAGAGATCATTCAGATTCTGGTGTGGCACTAGTTTTATTTATGCTCAGAGCTAATTTTACTCCTCTGACCATTTGCATAAGAAATCATATTTGTGGAAATAGTTGAACTATCAAATACAGAAAGACAGATGGATAATGTGAGAACCCTGAACTCTGCTTTGCTCTGTTTTTACCTCTCCACGGTCCCCCAGCATGGAGTCTGGTGGTTTGGGCAGCTGCTGTCCACTAATGATCTTGAGTACGAGCTGTTTCTTGGGGTAAGCTGGAAGTGGGTCATCACTGAATGGGTTGAAAGAGCCTAGAGGAGTAAAGGATGGCGGAGCAGCAACATCAATTAATGTCATCATTTAATCCTAACATGAGTCCATCTGTCATCGTTATTTCCACTGAGGGCACTTTCTGGGGCTTTTCCTACAACCTACGAGCCTTTATAGCTATGCAAGAACAGCTTGTAAATTACACTATAACACCTCCACTTCTACATTTTTGCATCTGTTTTATTTAATAATGCACAATATTTTATGGCCCATGTGATGTTGGAATTAACAATACTGAAGATGATAAACAAAAAACTGTTTCTTTTCAGTGAAGTAGGGTTTCTGGGGTGTGCCTAATTTTTTACACACATTTCCTTTTTTTGAATAAAAAAAACTGCCTTGGAGAAATCTGGTGTTTGACTTTATACATTTGAAATTCACCTTTTACTTAGTACTACTACTGTTTACTCTAGGTCACTTAAAAATGTCTTCAGTGGCCTTTCAGATCTTGACACAACAGCTTTGTTTCCCATGTAGGTGGCATTTCAGAATATCAAGAATGTTGTTTTTTTTCACAACCTCAACTAGTGTTGTGCTTAAAAATGTTTGATTCTCTTTCAAATATAATGCGTCAAAGTATTTCTTGTAGAAAGGATCTTATTTTGCAAATTTTGAAAGTGAGAAAGCTTTTGAAGGAATTATAGGAAACATGGGTTTATCTATTTAACTCTGAAGATCAACTTGTCGTTTATGTTCAGCAGAATGATGACATGTTTGAAAGCTTGAATTTCAAACTATGTTTAACCAGGATAACTGAATTATTTCCCAAAGTATTCTTTTTTCTCTTTCAGGTTGCCATTAGGTAGTAGAACCTTGATTTCTTTACCCTTAAACCCTTTTAACTCTTGAGGGATGCAAAAATAGTCTTAACTGGATTTTTTATCAGTTTGAATCATATATCTAACATAATGTTTTTTATTCACAAGTCTTCCCCTGTTAGTTGTAATCATAGTTCATAGCAAATGTTGTGTTTACGTCTTGTATTGTGTATTAGGCAATTGTTATATTTGATCTTGTTACTCAATCGCACACCTGGTGAAAAAAAAAGACAGTAGCTTACTGTAATTCTTTATCATAGTAATTATCAGGTCCTGATGGTGTTCCTCATAATTACTAGAGAAGAGTAATTATTTCTCAAAAATAAAGACATGTATTTATATCTCACAGCCTCTTTAAATTTGTGGTAGAAATCATTCAACTGTAACAAAAGAAATACTATGCTTGATAGATTTTTATTGATAACGGTTACTTATGTAGAAAAAATGACAAATGAACTTGATCAAAGCTTATCTTTATTTTTTTTGTACCTATTCTTTGTATTGTTTTACCTTTACACATAGGAGGCGGCTTGAGGACGTAACCAATGCCTCCATTCACCATGAATTTTGATCTGTTGAGCTGCATCATCCGTCCATCTGTTTGATAGTTCAGCGCAACTGAAAAAAATAAATAAATGACAAACAAAACCATTTAAATTGGGAATGAATGACAATCAGTTTCTCCATTATTTTGTTTTTGTTTTTTGTCATTTAGTGAGGGTTGGAGTTATTCCATATCTACATTTCTAACAGTTTTTGAATTTCATGGTATTAGAAGACAGCATTAAAAGAACTGTCTTCAGATAGTAGAAAAGCATATCAGGTTAAATTCTCTTAAACCAAAACGACATCCAAGACATCTAACAGCCTTTTTGCCTGAAAGACATGAACAAAAATGCCTGAAACAAAACTGAAAAGTTCTTCCATCTTCAAAATCTATGTGCTAAAGGGAAAACAGATGAAGAAAATGATATGTAGGCACGTGCTTAGAGTGTTTAATTTTCCTGTTTGGATTAGCATGAGAAGAACATTATTATTTTTTCTGAAATATTAATGAATTATGCCATGATTGCTTCAACTTCTGAAATGTTTTGCATAGCTCCCCCGTCTTGCTTCAGGTTTGATTTAAACTCAGACACCTTTTTAAAGAGTTCAACATGTATCTCTCTCAGTATATAAATTTTATAAATTCTCTTTTCAGGTTTATATGTTTGTATGTGTCTGTGTTTTTTTTTTACCTTGCAAAATAGTTTTTTGGGTTTTTTTTGGCGTGGCATCGCTGCCACACATCTAACTTGTAATACCGAAAGATCAACAGGCTTCTGCCAAACTTGATAACTGCTGATGAGATAAAGTAACTATTTGAACCAAGTGTGTTGCAACAGAAAGACAACTAAAAAAATGCAGGCCAGCGGTAGCCTAATTAAGACGCAGGTTTGAGAACTTATATCTTGAGGTTATCTCTTAAAATCCAAATAATATAAACTTGGGGTTTCCATTAGTGCCAAAAATATGTATTTGTTTGTGTCTATATAATATATGTAGATGTAGTGTGTTTATGTAATGTATGTATGTTAGGTACATCTGCTAGATGTACATGTTAACATATAATGCTATGTTTAGTGTATATAAGTGTAAATGTTAGGTGTATATTTTGGGTTCTTGTGTTAGGACAGATAAATTTAGCTTATTTGTCATATTAATTTACTTACATGTTTATGCAGTTAATATTAATATATCTTGCTTTTTTTCCCAGGATTAGCCTATTCTTTTGAATAATGAAACTGTATCTTTTGAGTGTATTATTTAGTAAAGCTTCCTTAGGTTATTATTATAATTTTTTTTGGAATGTTTTTTTTTTTTTTTGTCTGTTTATTTTTTCATTGGCATAAAAAAGGACCCTAAAATAGCCTACTTTTGCCAGTGAATTTGTTTCCTGTTCAGATAATATGTAATAATAGTTTTAATCTATTCATTTCATTTTGAATTAATCACCTCTACTTACGGTATTAAATTTCTGCACACTACCTTCCATCACTGGCATTCCAAAAGTTGACTGCGGATTGAGTGAGGGTCAGATAGGGGAGGGGGTGTATTGACTCACAACAATACAAAGGCCCCTCACAAAGACATAAGCACCTATCTATCATAACCTACCTAACATATATACTCAACAATTAACATAGATTTAACTATCTAACATATTCCTCTTAAATATGCACCTAGCATGTGCATCTGACATATACACTTGGCATATACATAAGCACCTAACATTTATTTTTAAAATAAGCACCTAAAACAATCCACTGGACTTTGTTTTCTAATTCTGAAGACATTTGAAGACATTTGGCTTCCCATCCAGAAAGATTTTAAATTATAAAAAATTCAATAGATTTTTTTTATTATTATTATTATTATTGAAAAAGCTTCCTGGGTGAGAAGTGAAATGTCTTCAAACTTGGAAAACAAAGTCTAGTGGATTGTTTTTTCACTTTTGTTGGAATGACAAGGAATTGGATGACTGGGAATCTTCAACAGAATCTTCACCTAACATGCAGACATAACGTAAGCATAAGCCTGTAACATATACAGCTTGCAAAGACACGTACGCATAATTTTGGCACTAATGGAAACCCATATTAGGAAACTGTATTTAGGTTAACTGTATTGAGATTGTAACAAAAAAAGGAAACAGTGTCAAGGGTGTGAATACTATCATGTGATTAAGGTTGGAAATTCTTACCCAATTGACAACCAACATTCCAGTAGAACTGCGGGTTGAAATTTGAGGAGTCGATACGATAGGCTGAGGGATAAATCCTTGACAGTTGTCTCTGGTTAAATGTCAGGAACTGCTCAGCCTTGTGATTGACCAGAGATTGCGCTCTGGTCTCGCTGAATGACAAAACATCACCTGGAGTTCCTTAAAAACAAACAAGCAGTAACAATACAGCCAGGACATGAGAAAAAAAATCCACAGAGGTTGCAATGCATTGCAGTTTATGCCTCGGATGTGTAGGTGTCAGTGTTGTTTTACCGTCATTTAAGCATTCCTGTGAGGCAACAGAATTGGTGAAGACTACCAGGTTTGATAGATCTCTACTTAGTTTTATTGTCTTCCTTTTTCTTCCAATCCTAAAAATATAATTGAAGAAAAAAAAAAAAAAAAACAGGACACAAAACTTATTGAAAAGATTTTGGTGCAAAAGATGCATACACTCACACTGACCCATTTACAGTGGAAATTCATGGCGGGGCAGAGAGGATTGTCCATAAGACGCAGCTTGTAAACCACAGGAAGTAGCATCAAAGGCAAAAAGCTTAAAAGGAACCAGCACGTATGCCATGCTGCAATATTCTCTCATTCTTGCAAACCTACATCTACAAATCCAGCATATATGCTCTTAGACAAACACAGTCAGTCACAATAATGTTTTGAAATAATTATGAACGTAATAAATAAGGAACAGAGACTGGAGAAAAGCACAAACTTAAAAGCAAATAAAGCATATAAATTTTCAAACTGACAATTTGTTTTGTTAAATTCCTAATCACAGCAAAGTGATTAATTCAAATTTCCAAAAAAGATTCTGTTTGGATAGAATAAGCTAAATCAACTGTCTGGAAAATAAATACTTCAAAAAGTAGGTCAAGTTATATTTTTCTTATTTTGTTTCATATGTACTCTTTTTATAATAAACTTAGTAAAATATAAAAAGGCAAAACATTTTATTATGTATCAAAAGTAAATATAAATTCTACTAATCATACTACTTATATACTATATAATGAATTACCTTTTAGATACAGACTTATGCTGTCTTTAGAATAATAACAAAAAAAAGACTACAATCTAGACAAATTATTGTGTTTTCCATCTATCTTCTCCCTGTTATCCATCAGGGTGATGGTGGGGCTGATGCCGATCACTTTCAGATTTTTTCAGGTTAAATCTTTTAGGTTAATAAAATAACTTTTTTCTTTAAACCTCTATGGAATGGAAAATTGCTAATTGTTTCCAGTAAATTAACATTTACTTGCTTATGTGACATTTTAATAAATTAACCACTTTTCTAAAGATCTGATACCCTTTAAAACTAAACTGCATCACATTAAAAAGATTTATTAAACCACTTTTCTTGAATCTGAAAAAAAATTAATTTTACTCTTATATACTAAATACTATATTTTTTCTTCCATGTTACTTCTGTTAAGCTTCTTTAAAGAAAATTATTATATTATGAATTATGAAAAGGGTAGCTAAGATGTTTAATATATGATAACCAGCCTCAGGAGCTGTGTGATGATTTTAAAAATGGGCAAGGCTGGATTAATTACAAGATTTCTTTGCTTATAATCATTTTTTAATTGAAGAGAGAAGATTCCCAAACAATTTGTTTTTCTTTTCCCTTATAGGTCTAACTTTAAAATTTACCTTCAGCATCCCCATTTATACAGCACTGTGCTGTTTTAGGACAGAAGGAGATTTAGTGGTTTCATGTCTCCTGTTGAGCAGGATTATTCAGACGTCACTGCAGCCATCAAGCCTTTCAGTTGTCAAACACTCAGCATTATGATGAAGATGTTTAAAGATCACCTGTTGAACTGTCCTCCAGCTTCTCTCCCAGACCTTTCCTGAGAGTCTTCCTCCTTCTCCACACTTTGACATGTCAGCCTTGATTTGGAGTGCCTCTGGACAGACATAGTAATACATATTTTAAAAAAAACAATTTAGAAAGCAGAAATATATTCTATGTATGTTAACTTTGCCTTTAGCTGTCAACCTAAACATTGTGCTACATTTATGATCCATCATACACAATGCTGCCTCCGTACTCAGCTGTAGTCATTCTCACTCTTACTTTATTTCTTTAAGAGTAACACATTATGCATTGTAGCAAAGAGAGGCTGAGAAGATTAGAAATTTTTAGTAATTACAGTGTTCACTTTCTCAACTAACACTGCAGGCATCCCAGGCATGCGCATTTATATACAGTATACACACACATACACACAACCACCCAAGCAGACGTGGGAGGCTGTATGATACCCAAAGAGGGAGCCATAAAAGGCTGAAGTGGAATTTTGAGTGGGTAAAAGCAGGTGGAAAAGGAGGACAGAAAAATTCAGTGGTATATATGTAAGGTTTGTGAGTAATAAAAACTATAAGCTAGAGACAAATTTTTTACTGCTTCACTGATTGGATTTTTTGTCAAAGACAAGGAAAACCTCAATACACATTTTTAACAACAAAAAAATATTTAGATCCATATTTTATTTTACAAAACTAGATTCCATAGATTTGTAGATTTTGTAGATCAAAGTAATTTTTAATTCCACACATTTACGATCACCTTTTAACAGTGAAGAAAACCATCAATTGCATAATATTATCATTTATGAAAGAGAAAACTGTTTGTTTAAAATGGATGGATGGATGGATGGATGGATGGATGGATGGATGGATGGATGGAAGGAAGGAAGGAAGGAAGGAAGGAAGGAAGGAAGGAAGGAAGGAAGGAAGGAAGGAAGGAAGGAAGGAAGGATAACAGAAATGACAAAAGGAAGAAAATAATGAATTAAGGACAGAAAAACAAAGGGGGGGAAACAAAGAGAATAAGTAACTTAGGAAAAGGGGTACAAAATCAGAACAAAAAAGACAGAAATAAGAGATGGCAAGCAATGAAGAATGAAGCAATGATTGAAAAAAAAGCACACAAAAAAAAGCATGACACAAAAAAGGACACAAGGAGGGTAGAAATTACACAATACAGAAAAGCAGGGAAGATATAAGTGGTGAAGGAAATTGGACACCTGGTTGGCAGAAAATAAATTAACAAGGCAGAAGGAAGAGAAATGTGTTACATGGTTGAAAGTAGGTCTGAATGATGTATAGAAAAATCCACATTGTGATTATTTTCAATCAGTATTGCAATTTATTGTGGTTTTCATTTGCACTAAGCACATGCATATATATGTTTCACTCTGACGTTTCAGTGTTTTATGACCTTCAAAGCTTGCTTATCTAGAGTCCATTGATCCAGGACTTTACTGTAACACTTGCTTATAAAAATTCTTGGAGCTGTCACTCTTTATTCCCATCTGTGTGGTAGCAAACTCACTTTAAGTGTATTACTGCCGACTAAAGGACTGGAGGGAGAAAATCTTTGTCTTTCTCTTGTTAAATGTAATGTGACGAAAATAAAATAAATATTCCAGCTCTAGTTGGAATGAGAGAAAGAAGGAAGGAAAAAAAAGAAGCATAGGACACAAGGGGGCAGAGAAGTATATATACAATTTTCTATAAAATAAAACCTTGTATAAAATACAAAAAAACATTAAGTTTGAGGTATAAAAATCCAAAAGCAGTGAAAACAACAACTAAACTGAATTAGCCTCTCTGCAAAAATAAAATACATATGACATAAAAAGATAAAGAAAATAGATTTTCTGAATCTTACCTTTTGTTTAAGTGTTGTGATAAGGGACCTGCTTTGAGATTTCCTTAGAACCCCTTTGGAGCTCTGTTCAAAAAGCAGAAAAAGACACTCAAGGAGTTTTCATCTACCACCTTGTGCACTGTTGCTTGTATTCATATCTGGGTTTCATATGGTTGTGAAATACCAAACACATTAGCAAGCAGTGAGTCATTTAAACCCTAAAGCTGTTGAGCTGAAGGAGGCGCAACAAACGCTCAATAAAACATCAGACAGCTGAAGGGAGCAGTGGGAGAGAGCTACAAAATATACCAGCTAGAATCACTTGGAGAGAAAAAGCTTCAGAGACAGAATGAGGTGAAAGGGATCACCGCCAATGTAGGACTACATTAGAGAGAAGAGGAAACCCCGATGCACTACACCCACTACGCTGAAATGGCTCTCAGGAAACCAAGGTTCTAAAAATAAGACGCAAGCAGCAAAATTAAATATTAACATTAGAGACATTTAGAGCATCTTCACTTTCAGCCTTTTTTCAATATGCCTTGGATAACATGCAGTAATCCAGGAGAGAAGCCATACAATCTGTTCCATGTGTATGTTTGACCATTAAGTGTAGCTTAAACTAAACTGTCACTCGACTCTCCGAGCCTCCAGCATGACTAACATCATGACCTATTTTTATTCCCCTCCTTTTCTCTTTCATGCTCTTGATATATTGACAAGAATGTCTCTTCCTGGCGTTCAGCTCTGCAAGCAGCCTCTGTTGCTTTGAGAACTTTACCTGCCGCAGGTTCTTCTGAAGGCCCTGGTGTGTGGCTCTAAGAAGAGCTCGGATGCTGAAGCTGTCGGTGTCCTCCTTGTCTACGATCCGGGACTCCTTCAGAAGAGAGTCTAGTTTCTTTCTGATGTGAGACTCCACTTGGGTTTGGCCATTGCCCTAGATAAAAGAAAGAAACCTCAGGTGTCAAGATAAGGGAGAGCTGAATGCAAGAAAAAAGAAATCTGAGTTTCAAAGAATTAAGACTGCATAGGGTGGCTTAGGCTTATTGCAAGACACCTTTTCAGATTTTGTTTTCATATAACAACCCAAGCTTAATTAGGTTTACTAAAGATTTAATGTAATAGAGAGCATAAAACATGCACTAATGCAAAATAAAAAGGAACAATACATACTATTTCTGATAAATAACCTTCCTGAGCCATTTGCTACCCTTACAGCTGCACAATATTTTGGGTATGTGCTAGCATTGTACATCTAGACCAATCTTCCTCAATTTTGCTCCTCATGGTCCAATGTCCTGCACCTTTTAGGTGCGTCTCTGTTTAAAGTCACCTGAGTCAAATATATACTGTATACATTTGTGCAAATTGACAAATTAATACTAGAAATTTAAATAACACAAAACTGAAAAAAGTCATTATAGATAAACATTTACTAAATCATACATTTGCAAAATAAAATATGGATTTTGATTTAGTTTTCCAAAAAAAAAAACTTTTAAATACAAACTTTCCCAGAAATATTTAAGTACCTTGCTCATGTACAGTTAACAAACATACCTGTCCACAGGAGCAGGAGTCTGACTGAACATTTCCTGAACTTTACAGAAAAGACCTGTTTTAATGATTGACTCAAAGTGTTGCTCAACAAAATTTTAGTTCAAGAGCTCCATCAGGCTGCTTGTCTACTTGCTTTATTTATTCATATATATATATATATATATATATATATATATATATATAATCTTCTACAGATAAATGTTTTTCCAGAATAATAATAAATAGACTTTGTTTATCTATGTTTGGGGATATACTTGGGGTCAATGTTCTATTTGTTTGTGCCCCAGTTTTAACTTGCATATTGATGTCTACACGTTTTGCATCAAAGTTTCTACATGATGTTTTTTCCTACAGATGGGATCTCATTTCTTCACTAAATCCACCCCTCTTCAGGTACTGACATGTAAGGGGTCCTTGCAAAGCCTCTCCGTTAATCAAGGTGCCCCAGGCTGAAAATGACTAAACAATTCCTTCCTTAAATATCAATGGTTTTTCTCTCACTCTGCAGTATGACAGTTTGCATTTAGGAGTCTTTATCTGGAGTAATAACCCTGTTTCTTTTTCTCTGCCTTTTGCTTTATTTAGCACTAAATCTCAGATAATGTAGCATCCTGGTAATAATCATTAGCAGCTAAAAAAATTTATTCTCTATAACACTTCATTTTTTGTTACGTAAAAAGCATGTAATTCTATTGGTGCAATGTTATCAGTGACTGCTGTGAAAGCACGCTGGTGTAATATGCATAATACAGAAACTCCTAGTAACCTGCCAACATCCCTTTGAAAATGGCGATGATCATCTGCTGAGGCATCTGTGGCTTTGTGCCTCCAGCTTAATGCAGGGGAAGGATGCCATGCTCACTTATGAAACCAAGCTTGGAAAATAATGCCAGTGAGGGGGGTTCCTCTAGAAAATTCATATGATGACTGCTTATGTTATGAAATAACATGCTTTAATCAGCCTGCTCCAGGTAGGAGGAGGTGTATTAATGGCCAGCTCTGGAGGTCTTTGAGAAGTGATGTGCAAAACAAAACAAAAACACAGACCTGACCATTGACTTCAGAAGCAGAATCTCTAATCCCCTTATTACCTCCAAGAATTTACAGGTGGAAAGAGGACAGAGCAATGATTACCAGGGTACAGAGATGGGGGATGTGGAGCCATCAAATATTTTTTTTGTTTTTGTATTTATATATATTTCTTCTGCCCAGCCACTGAACCAGGTGAGTCCAATGTAGGACTCACCTAGCTCCACATTTCCCACCTCTGCCTCTCAATACATCTGCCATCTATGAAACTAGCCTACTGTATAAAGACTTTATATTCCACACTGACTTAATACTTTTAATATAGACAAAACATGATGGCTTTATTCTACTTTGCTTTTATACAAAATGCTGTTTTTTGAAGTGTTTATTGGTAAAGTAGCATTACAATGCAGAATAAAAAAAAACTAATTTGAGACATCATCAAAGTAGCAGGCATGAATAATGCATGTACAGCTTCTGAAAAAAGCCATTTTAGGAGACACTGATCACAACCATTTAAGCAGTTAGTGCTTCTCCCATTCGGATGTTGATTCAGGCTCCAAAAGTCATCAGTATGCATTACATTAGTATACATTTTCCTTTAATACATTTTACACCAACTGCAATTAAGAATCAATCTGCACTACTTAACTAATTACCACTTTCATGTGGTTAGTATTTTTATGCTTGCTATATATCTTTGCTATGAGACATAGACTTGAAGGACGATAAAAATAACTTGAATATAAAAGTGCACATGGAAAGCAAATTGGAAATCTTTATGTATCATGCAGGTGCAAATTTAATGTTTAATTCATATTTATTTCGAAGGATCGATAGTAAAACTTCCTCATTTTGTTATTTATTTATTTTTTTTGCATCATTAAACTTTGGTTTTCTGAAAACATTATTGTTGTAATTACTTACAAAGCAACAACCATCACAGGCCCATTACTGAAGTCGTTATCTCATCTACAGCAACATCATTATGATCGCATTAGTGAACCTTTTTGTTGCCTGGGCGGGGCGGAAAATAGGATCTCAATCTATTTATTGTTTGAGATCATATTTTGAGAAATAAACCAAAGGAAATCTGCCTTGGCAGATATAATAATTGCTAAATTATTATATCTATAATAATAATAATAGATTTCGATTTTATTTTGACATCACTTTGGGTTGTTGGAAGTAGGATGTGATAACTGTTGTGAATTGTAGCTAGGATCTACGAGTAAGAAATAATACCCTGACTAGATTTTAAGTATTTAAGTACTGACTGATCGTTTTTCATTTCTTACAAATCAAAAACTGTTATAGCTTTCCATCAGTTACAAATTGAATAAACCAGAGGAATATTGTCTTCTTAAAATACAGCAAAATCTTAGAAAAGCCTCTTGTGGTATATTATAGATTCAAGCCTGTTTTATACAGTTTTGAATTTATTTTTTATAAGTAAAATTGTTTATCCTTCCTCCTTCTTGCATTTGGGTCCTGTGTTACAAAATTCCATGTGTATTTTACAGATACGTGCATACACTGTATAGACAGGCATCCCTCGTTATTAGATTTTATATTTAAAAGTTTTAATTCTGTTTCTTAATTCAAGTTTTAATTACCAGATTTCAAAGCATTTTTCTGCTCATGCAGGACCTCTGTTCAGCTAAATCTGTATAATCTATAAAAAAAAGGATAAAGCCAGTATTTCTTTTTTATGTTCACACTACCAACACAACGAGTAAAGGATAAACAATTAATCTAATTTCTTTGAATAAAACAGTTTTTTGAAGAATACAATTTTTGATGATTATCTTAATTTATTTATAGCAAAAACTTTAGTTTCCTTTTGTTCTTATAAACAGTGTAAAACCTTTAGGTTAGCCCAAACGATACTTTTACCTTTCTTTTTTATACATTTATCTTTACTTAAACCTAATGAAGGAGTATGAGTATGTTTGTCATGTCTGCATTCCTAACAAAATAAAAAAAAGAACTTTATTTTTTTTTTTCATGACAATTAGAAATGATCTTTAAATCATTTGGAAATATATATATATATATTTTTTTTTTTTTGCCTGGGATTCGAAGGTGCTGTCAGATATAGATTATATAACAAAATATAACAAAAATTATAACAATATTTTTAACTCTATTAGAACTAAGCTTATACTGTAAATGTACAAAATTTTAAACTCAAGCCCCTTAGGTTCATTTTCGTCTGGTCACAGCAACTTATTCTTCCCTCAGGGGCCAAAAAAGTCATACGATGTCACAATGTAGAGGAAAATGTTTTTTTTTTTTTTGTAAGTGTTCAAATTGGATAAAACTGATGAATGAATGTGAGTAAAGTTGCAATATCAAAGCAGAGTGTTCTTTTTAAATCAAATGATGAAAGCAAAAGATTCCTTTCTAAAGCTGCTATTGGCCTCTTCAAATGACTATTATAATAACATTAAAGATAGCAAAATATTTTCTCTCCTTATAAAACAAAAAGAATCAGGTACATTCATATTTGCATTGCATAATTTTGTTAGATCTACTTAACAAGAAAGTCTTAAACACATACAAAATAATTATGTCCAAAACATAACTTTAAAGATGAGTTGAGGGTAACATGCATTTATCTAATCACATAAAGTGTAGAGTCATGTTCTTGTAGCTTACATTACTGCTTTTGAGTTTGAAGTCCTCTTCAATTTCGTCAGCACTGTCATCATCAGACACTTCCCCCTCCTCAGCATCCGCAGACAGATAGGCGGGCAGGCGCTTACCCTGGATGGTGAAAAGATAACATGACAGAAGAGTGAAAAATGTGCATTTGATCCCTTTTAATAGTAAAGTTAGTGCAGATACTTCCTTTATGTGTTGCCTGTAGAAGACAACCAGGTTGAATTAAGTATCTCATTTCTATCCATGCAGAAGGAAGAGCATATAGCCCCATAAAACAGTCAACTCATCCCCTCATTTGACTGTCAGTATGATCTACTAATGCTGCAGCTGCTGCTGTTAGTCACTAGATGTGAAAGGACACGGCCCATCCAACATTTTAAACACAGTTCCTTGAATATTTTCCCTAACTGTTTTGGCCTTAGTTGTTTAAAGTCCCCATTGTTGTTTGTTGCATAGATGCTGTTTTAACTGACTGAGGACTACATTGCTAAGTATTTTGTTATAAGCTTTTGTTTATATGGGCTTTCTAGATTAGCAATGGCTGAGCTCTGGAAGGGATTTTTGTGAGTCAGCCACTCCGGGATGGTTGCACCATTGTCCCATTTTCTCCATTTATGATTCATGTCTCTCACTGTGCTTCACTGGAGTCAACATAAAAGGGCTTTGTAACCCTGTGTAGACCATCAGATGTCAGCGATTTTTTTTCTAATATCCTGTAAATTTCTTTGAATCAGGTGATGATTTGTTGCCTATTTAGACAGGATTGTGCGCCCATTTAGGATATAGAAGTTCGTACACAGGTTTCACTGTAGTCTTATTAAAGTTAACCTGTGTTTATTTGAAGCCTACACTTGATTAGTGAAGAGGTTTGCCATCTCAATATTAATAAAATAAATACTCTTCTTGCAGTATTAAGGTGTAGGTGTAGCACGGAAATTCAGCCAAAAATTTGTTTTTTTCTTAATCAATTAATTATTTGACAAGTGGGAAAATTATAACTGCTGATTTGAATGATTTTCCTCTTAGAAAAGAAAATCATCATTAAAAAAAGCTTAGTTGTAATTATTTAGGTTACCTTAGTGGGATATCAACATTTTTGTGCTCTGACATATTTAAGAGTGACACAAGTGTTTCTGAAGCTTTTACCTAAACTCTGGAAAGTCTGAACAGTTCGTCCCACATTTAGCCACTCAAGGGGTTACATAACTCTCACTCATAAAAACACATGCATCTGCAGAATGCCAGTGAAACTCCCTCAGAAGCTCTTCTGAAGGATTGAAAGCCCATCAGTGAGCCATTCTTAAAGTGTGAGTGGGAGTCATTAATTTTCACGCATCTTTCTCTAATAAAAAAAATGCAGCCCCTCCCAGTTTTCAACCACTTCCACAAACAGTCTATCCACCCTCTTTCTAAATATGTCTCTTTGAAAAACCTTATATTAAATCTTTTTCTTCACTGCTGTGTTGTCTCTGGTCTGATGATTGACAGGGCAAGTAAGAGAGGTGAAGGGCTGTCAAACAGAGGCAAGTAGAAAAATAAGAAGCAGTAACAGTTTTTTTTTTTTAGAATTAATTTCTTTTTCCAAAGAAATCTGAGTAGAAGAGGACAAGGCCAGGGATCCTATTATGCAAACCTTCACATAACAGATAAATACATTTATTTAATACTTCTTAGACGCTTTTGTTAATCTGAATGTTTTGGTGTTTTATGGTGGAAAAGCAAGATCTGTTTTATTTTCTTACAGTAACTGTGCTTGGTTTTTCTTTAGTATAGGTATGTCAAACATGTCACACTGTTTATCGCCCTGAGCACCTGCCTGGTCTTCTGTTTGCTCCAAGTGCTAAACAGAGATAAGCCTGTGAGGCTTGGAAGTGGCAGTCCTTTCAAAACAAAAAAAAAAAACTACTGCTAATGATACTAATCATGCTACTTCCTAATCAGAGCACTACCCTCAGTAATCTTTTCAGGTACAGCAGACCCTCCCAACAATATTGTTTGATGAACAAATGAGCTTGCAGGAAGCTGATTCTTTACTTGTGCTATTATATGAGTAAAACTCTACCACTGAATATTTTTGTAATTCAAAAATGTTTTCTCATGAACAGAAAAACCTTCAACTTAAATCTGTCATTAGTGAGCATTTATTCAATGTAAAAGCAGTAAAACTAAACAGTAGATGGCCTACAGTGCTGAAAGGATTAAAGGCTAAAGGGTTTGTGGATTTTGACTCTCAGCAACTTTAACACTTCTTTATGTGATGTAAAAGCAAACAAGAAGCTGCAACATTCTAAGTGTTGCCAATTGAGACTGTCTGGTCCCAATTTTCTCCTACCGAACTTTCAGTCGCAGTCATTATTTTTTACGGCTTTCTGAAGGACGTTTTAACTGGCTTTTCACTCAGTATCACTTCAGTCGATTGCTTTTTCATGTTTGTCAATCTTCTAACCTTGGATACATTGACCTTTCAGCTGCACTGCAACTAGACCCCTAAAAACCAAATTGAAGATCTGGGTTTGTCTTCACAAAAGTAAAAATCTGCTTAAGATATCTTATTTAAATTGGAATACTAGGCAATCTGTTAACAGTTGTCTCTAAAAATACAAGTGTTTTAATTAATTTAACATCATTAATGAAAGATACCAATGAAAACAAGGTTTGATGCTCAAGTACTAATCTACGGTATTTGAAGATATTCAATCAGTGCTCCAATCATAGTACTCCATAATGTTTTGCATTAGGATCCCTAAAGCTTGGTTTATGTCTGACATACGTACGCTCCACATGGACACAACATCTGCAGCTTTTATACTCCATGTGGTTTTTCCACTTTTACCTTAATATTCTGGCCAGCTCCAGGGAGACGTGTAAAGTACAAACTGCAAGCTTACATAAACTAAATAAGGAAGTAGTCAACACAGCTGTTTTCTAATTTCAAACCATCTTTGTGAAATCCAAGAGTGACAGTCATTTCTTTCAAAGAGTTTTTAGTCTTTTGGTCGTGGTAATATTCATAAGCTAAATCACAAGATTCTACTATAAGTTTATATTTGTGAACCTTCACAGGTTGGAGCTGTTGCTCGTGCACCATCTTTTTCCCATGTAGTTACAAATTTTCCTAGGTGTGAGGTGCAGGAATCCTATCCGTGCCGTGCAGACATCACATTGAGGAACATTTAATAAAAAAACACATAATTTAGCCGGGCAGACACATCAAGCATTAATCAAGTTTAACCATCCTTTAAATGTTATACTGTATTCGAAACAAATGTGCATTAGATACTGCTGATCTAACAGACCTGTGCTAGTACCATAGCATTTACACTCTTTTCAATATTAAACCCAGTGAAAGCAGGAATGTAGCTGCAGCAGATGCCTGTGAGGTATTACCTCTTTGTCAAACTCTGATATGCCCAGGAATTAAGCATTGGACCTTGTCTTGTTGTCAGCAAAAACCAAAACTTTAATAAATTTGATCAGTTGGAGGATGAAAGAAGACAGGCTGACTTCCAAAGAGCTATTAGCCAAAACCTGGAAAACAGGTTTAAAAAAACGTTGCAATTAGATTATCCATCTGGTCAACAGATTTTTTTCCCTCTTTTTATAATATGACTGAAGGTGATTTTAGGTTTAAAACTTCCAATTTGTTTTTTGTTTCTTATATTTCTCATCTGTTCACAATATAATGCTATTGCAAGGTACAAAACCTGGAAAGGGAAAAATAAACTTGAAAAGTCTCACAGAAAGTTATACTGAATTAAACTCTTAAGACAACCTCAGAAAATCACATGAAAGTCTTAATCTTTGATCATTAGGTAAAAAGAAAAGGGAGATTGTATTTTAACATATAACAAAAAGCAAGTGACCAAAGAGGTTTCATGGGCATAAGCATTCTTCTGCATGGTTCAGATCCAAACGTCCTCAAACAAAAATAACAGTGCTTTTATAAAAGCTATTTAATCCAACATCTTATATGTATAAAAATATAAAACACAAACAGCCCAATTGCTGCATCAGTCAAACCAGCACAAAACATTTAGAGTCTTTGTTTTCTCTCGCACTTATCTAGTTGCTTTCCTTTAATGAAATGTGTAACAAATTTTGCATGTAAGAAGAAAAATTATATGAATTTGTAGTTTTATGTTTTCACACGAAATACATTTAGAATGTATAATTTGGAAGATTTTCTCCAGTGCTAAAATGGTCAATATTTGAAAAAGTTAACAGCTGCAAATGAGCCACCAATTAGGCTGTACTTTCAGTGCATAGGATACAACATTTTTAAACCAAATGTCTGTCTCTGGAATAACTTATTCCAGAACTTTCTACTTCCCTAGCATTTATGATTAATGAAATGACCTACTTCCATTCTCTTCGTCTCCTCATAAAGTAGGAAATAATTAGCAGCTGCATGCTTCTGATCATATTCCTTTCTTACTAATGCACATTACAGAAAATGTTGACAGATGAGATATTCTTCTCTCTTCTTTGTAATTGTTCAAAAAAACTACAGAGGGAGGGTGGAAATAGATGCTTTCTTTCACAGATTCAGAAGCACAGTTCTCAACAAGTTCACGAGTTTGATCATTAAAAAACAGAATAGTTCCTGATGCATTTAACTATCCACTAATGTATTCTTACTTTGATGAGGATCTTTCCTTGCAGGCTGTGTGGACTGGGTAATGTTTTGGAGTCTCTGCTCAGCACATCTCCCACGTCTAGTTTGTCTCCAAATATTTCCCGTAGGTACTGTGCAATCTTTTTCTGCTGCTGGATGTTACAGTGGTTCTCAATGGACAGGATCACTGGATATCTACAAGAAAGATAAAAAGTAACATGGAGGTTGCTAGTAAAGGACTAAAAATTGAAATACTTATCAATAATTAAGAGATTTGTCCAAACGTCTGCCATTACCCCAACATAGAACACTATATAGGGGCTACACCATTTTATGAGTGCCTGAATGTTTAGTGGATGAAAAAGTAGTGAACTCAAAATTTCCCACCACACACCTTGAAAAGTAGTGTGCATCCACGGTCCCTAGACAAGCAGATACATCCAAGAAATCTTTTCAAGATATCTCCTCGCAAAGCATCATGGATTTTTTTGGGGGGGCGATAGAGAACACAGATGGTACAGTAACAGTGCGAGGAACCGCAGTCACGTGACCAACGGTGAGCAACTAAGTAGGAAACATCTGTCCGAGTTCACTAAAAAGTCTACTATAGGTGTTAGGGCGAACGTTTGGACACAACCACAGTTTTAAATATTAAACAAACATTTTTCAATTCTTAGAAAGAAAATTAGAAATTAAAAAAATGCCATAAAGCAATATGATTTCCTACATCTGCTATATGCATTGTGTAGGCATATTATTTAATGTGTTTTTTCACTTTTAGAAATGTCGATGTAATGTTTTAGAGTATTGGCTTGGCTTTTGTGTAATGTTTTTATTTAGAAGACTGTCCCCAACTCAAATGTCACATTTGTCAGACTGAAAACTTCCCCAAGGGGGACAAGGCCCCACTCCCTCCACCTTCTTCTCTGATAGTAAAAACAACACACACCACTAATATGCACAACAGGCATTTCCAATCCTGTGCACAATATAAACTCAACTGTCATTTACATCAACAGAGAAACATTCGGTTTAACCTGACCACACAACCATGATGTGGTTCACTGAGTTGTGTGAATAATCACTACACTTTAATGTTGCCTTTAGGCTATTAATCATATGAACATGCAGCACTGAGGTTAAGCCCTTAGCCAGATCTCCTGTTGAAAAAAAGCAACAGGAGAGACGAAAAGAGGAGGAAAATAAGGGATAGAGTGTTCAGGTTATTCATCCGTTCTCCCTGTGAGCATTATTAAATATGTTTAATTAACAAAGCTTAATTTATTTGGTATTTTCTGATTTTTCCTAATTCCCCCCTGTCTACCAGGGCAAAACAGAAAATCTGGGTGGAAATTTCACAATTAAACTGACCCTGGTAGAAAGTAGTATGGTTTAAGGGAGCTCAAGTCTGTGGGGTAATGCATATACTGTATTTAATATTTGCTAGAAACCTTTGAGGAATTTCAGAGTTTACAGTTTATATTATCCTCTGGGGTAATTTAGGGGGGTACTGCAGTTTATATTACGATAAAACTTTGGGGTATTGTACTTTATATTATCTTTAATTTTGGGGGCATTGTTATTAACTACTACTGTCCCTATTATACCAAATCTAATAATGTAGGAAGACGGTACTGTTTCTATTACCCAAAGCTTTGGGCTGGTGCTTTATGAAAGCATTTTTACATTTTTATTTGGTATGATTCTTTCAATTTTGGGCACAGATAAATTGCTGAATTTCTCAGGTAACAAAGTAGCAAAGAATTGTAGTTTAGCAAGTATCAAACTATGTTTTTAAACTACCGGTATAAAAATGTATTTATTAGCATAGGGATATTGTCATGTCTAAGAATTAATATTTCATATGGACTTAAAAAATTTAAATTGGAACACAAAGACTTTAATCTCAAATTTAAAACATTATAAAAAAAAATTGGCAGCATGGATGGTCCAATAGTGTCTGTTTGTATAAAATAGACATCTTTATAACTCAGCTACAGCCAAGATTAGAAACAGTGAGCAGTAAAATTGGAAATATGTCATCATGAAACTGCATCAGTCACAACTATGTTTAGGTACCATTGGGGACGGCAGAAACAATCAGCGGCTCCTCAGGGGAGCCAGACAACACACTGCTCAGCAGATGGTTTAGATGTAGGTACTAATTACTCCCACAATAGTAGTTTCTTAAAAAATATGTCTTCCACCTTTTTTTTTACCTATTTATTTCTGTTTAATTGTCTTAAATGTATTGCCATGAAATCGGTCAATAATGCCTGAATAAAATATGTCATGTGGTTGTTTAAATATAGGTCTTAAATTGGCTTACAGAGGGGTGATGCCCCATCTTATTTTCTGAAAGAATCATAGACGGCCTAATCAGATCAGTTGTCAGCAAAGCTAACCGGAGGATAAACACTTTTTGTACTGTGCTTTTAAATTTTGAAATCTGCCCAAATGTATTAGTACTCCAAAAACCCTGACAGCTCAGGGTGTAGATCAGGAAGCAGAGTTATAGTTTAACACACTTTTCTGCAGCTTCTCTACTGATACTCACCCATTACCCCATCCTGACAGTATCTTGCCCAAAACCAAAATTAAATAAACTAGAAAATAATTCCAAAGGAGTAAATCAAGATAATCTAAATAAAATTAAAAATAACTCAAATCAGGTAAAAAGTTAAAACAATTAAATGTGGTTCATTTAACATAACAGATCTCTTTGTTCCCAAAGTATGTTATAATTGATCACATATGTTCAGTGCAAAATTGAGACAAACTGAAGACAGTTTCAAAGCCTCTTTGTAGCACCAAGAATGACAATGATGTCTTCCTTTTCTCGATTCCATTGATGTCAGTGGGCCATTTCATAAGATGTGTATAGATGTTGTTGGAACTGTCACTCATACACCGTGTTTTTTGTGTGGAACTGTCTGCATAGTTATAATTATTCCCAGGAGCAAGGCGCTGATAATCAGGCCACAGACATGTGGGGGGATGTGAATGTAACATTTTCGTAATTTTGTTATGCAGACCTCATCAAGCATTAACTAGGCTCAACATGTATAGAATATAGAAATTATGTCTGTTCTGCTAACACTGTATCTTCTTACCACATGTATTATGCTTATTTTTAGACATATAGAAGCAGGCATTTGGGTTTTTGTGCTATGTGCATTGGTGAATGAGTTTCTAGATACCTTGAACTTCCCTCTAGAATTGATAAAGAACATTTAATTTAACTTGGATTCTGTCCTTTTCACCTTTCCTTCAGGCTCTGGGACCTTGATTTCCAAGTGAAATATAAATTGTACTAAAACTCTGAGTACAAACCTTAAAAGCTTAACTGTTCCAATTACTCAATACTGTGGTTATCTCTGATGCATATCCATTACTTCCTTTTTCTTTCTATCCACTTTACCTTTTGTTTTTGTGCATAGAAACAGCATTATATGACCACAGTTTCCCTGTATTAGTTGTCTTTGTTTTCCCATTTTAAAAAGAGCTGTCAAGGCATGTCAAGCCATCAACACCTTTGTTTATAGATGTTGGAGATCTGCCTGTTTTTCAGTGTAGTCCTGTTTCTCTAACTGTGACTAGCTGGATGTGCTCTCTTCATCCTCTGACATGGGAGCTGGCTCGGATCTCTGCCTGGCTGTGTGTTTCCTGGACGGGGCCGCCTTTTGCAGCTGCCTTTTGTGTCTCTGCTTCTGTCTCCTTGAACCCCAGTCGGCCTCAGCAGATGGCCGCTCACACTGAGCCTGGTTCTGCTGGAGGTTTCTTCCTGTTAAAAGGGATTTTTTTTCCCTCTCCACTGTCGCTACAAGCATGCTTAGTGTGAGGGATTGCATCCGAGTCAATGAGTCGATGCAATCAACTGGTTTTCCTTAGATAGAAAACTTTTAATCAATTTGACTGTAGGATCTGGTGAACTGTAAAGTGCCCTGAGATGACATGTGTTGTGAATTGGTGCTATATAAATAAACTGAATTGAATTGAATTGAGTATTCACCCTTTTTTTTATTAGCTGTATTTTTCTTAGCTGTAAGCTATAAGCATCATTACTAGTACCTTGAAATGTATTACTCTTGTAAAATCTAGATAAGGTTCCTTTTCTGACAGTGTTTTCCTTTCAGTCATTTTATTATCCAATTGCAGGTTAAAAGAAATATTGAGCAACATATATGTTTTACACAATATCAAAACATTTGTGAATAAGCTTTAATTTCGAATCAAAGTATTAATTTATAAATACAATTCAAAATGAGACTATAATTTTTTATAGAGTAGGGAAAATACTTCACATTTTATATTAGTAGGAAAAAATACTCACTAAGAGCTATGCAATATAGATAGAAATATAGTTACAGATTTCAGGGCAGATTTAGAACTAAATACATTAAAAAACATAAAAAAAGCAGCAGGTAGCTTTGACTTACTTGTTATTTATGAAGGCATATTTGTTGATGGTCTCTATGACAGACTTGAATGGTATTTTGGATGTCAGGGTATATCCATGCTGCACCATCGGCTCTCCATCGGGTCCATCCCAACAATCAACTATGGGAAAAAGATGTCTAGAAATTTATTTTGAACATTAAATTCATATTTGTTTTCATATTATTTAGAAATTATATTTTAGTATTTGTAATGTGAAACTTCAGAATTTAAAATGTGCGTTACCTTGAGTTACAGCAAAAGATTTTGCTTTTTTATTATCTTAAAATGCATCAGTGAATTTGGAAAGGATTGAATAGCAGTGAATATCCTGAAGCATTTAAATGAAGCATTCTGTTGTAACGTTGAGCAGTCAAATACAAATATCTGATAGAAATGGTCTGTTTTTACTGCAAACATTTTGATTAGTCATAGTAAGAAAAAGCAGAGTGTTAATAATCATGTAAATAATAGTGCAAGTCTGTCTGAGCCATAGTAGAATGGCAGGTTAGGTAACAGGAATCATATCCCGACTGAGCAGTAAGCATATGGAATCCTTCCATTTCTGACAGAATTTCCATCCAATGTTTATTTTTTATCTATCTAATAAAGCCATAGTATGAATGCATGAAAGCGCACCTTCCACACAGCGGCAGCCAGACTGCAGCACCCAGGCATACATGTCAGTCTTGGAGTGGGAGAGAAGCTGGTCCCCGGTTAGGTATGTGTTATGAGAGGAGGCGATGAAGTAGTTACACAAAGGCTGCTCCATGTCCTGATTCACTTCATTATGCAAAGGGTTGAAAATGTCACACGTCGGACTACGCATAAAACTTGTGAAACCTGTAGAAAAAAAATCCAAATCAGTAAAAGATAAATCCGATGGAATTACACTAAACTGTAAGCACTAATACATACATTGTTAAATCCTGTATTTTTTTCTCTTCGTTCCTCAACTGTATTTTATCCCAAATACAGAAAAAAAGTGATTTGATAATGGTAATTGTAACTGTAGCTAGAAACCAAACCAACCAGTCAAGCTTCCTATGTACTGATGCATAACATTATGACCACCTGTCAATGTATTGTTCTCCCTTTTGTTGTCAAAATTCATTTGCACAAAAAACAATGGACTTCAGAACAGTAGCTGTATTATCTAGCAACTTGATATTAATACCAGTCCTTACCTAAACTTGATACTCTAAGCCCTGTAAATTGAGAGGTGAGGCATCCATTCACTTGCTATGAATAGAATCTTCATTTTCCACTTTTGAGAGCAAAACTCTTAATTTATAATAATCTGTCACATCAAGAATCTATTTTGGTCTTTTTACAAAAAAGTGAAGCACAATAAAATTAGGACTTGAAGAGGAAAATAATTTGTAATTAATAGGAGACACACATCTGTGTGACAAATACAGTTAAATTATGCAAACCATTAATTCAAAACAGTGACAGTCACGATAAAATCTCAACAAGTGATAATGTGAATCTCACCCTTATGGAGAAGACATGTACAATATTGGATGTCTTTTCAAGAAGACCTACTGATGTAATCTGTTGTGCCTGCAGCTGTAATATTTATCTCAGTTCATATGAAACTGTGCCCATCTCTGGGATGCAGGGAACATAATAGTCAAGTCAGACAAACATAGTCACTGTTGGTCTTCATTCGTTTTATCAGTTTCCCAACATTGTCTCATTTTCTTTCACCACAATCCTTTTTTTATTTAGATGATGTTCAGAGAAGAAGTCACCTATCAGTTGCTTAATAACATTATAATGATTTATATTTTCAATATATATAATTTTTTTTCCAGATTCATTAAAGGAGATTCATTTGTTAGGGCTAAAAAGCTTCTACGATTAGTTTCTTTAAACGGGCACCAACACACCCTAAATAAACTGGTCATTTTTGGAAAAGTTATTCATTTCTGCATTGCCTTGTATTTTTCATTAGGTTATGCCTAAATTTATTGGATAAATATATTGATTTTCATAATTCTGTGGTTTTAGTTTATTTTATCTTTTTTAAAGAATGATATATTTAAGCTCAAATTACTAAACAGGATTCAATTTGACATAGTGCCTGTAGTTCACCAATCATATTCCAAATGTGTGAACTGTCATTAATTTTAAAGTTATTCTAACAGTACACACGTTTTGTTTGAATTACATCGCCTGCTCACTTGCAAGAGTGGTTTGTGTTTTTATATATGCTCCATATAGATGCTCCATTTTAAATCTGTAAAAAGAAGCGTAACACCTGGCAACAATCTTGCTTAGTAAACCCAGGCCAAACATAGGGAGCTGATGAGAAAGAGTCTAAAGTATGTAGGTGTATAAAAGGTAGAATCTCAGGAAAGGTAGGAACTAACAAGAAAGTTACCTTCTATCCCCAAAACACCTCGTTCTTTGTTTTCATCAGATACCTCAAACTTTTCAACGATTTCCGCAACATACTCCGAAGTCACGTTGGTCATCTATATTGAAACAAAATGAAGAAAAAAAAACATACTTAGATTACAAAACAAGCTTAACTTGGAGGCAACTAGATGTACGCTTAGTCTATCTGAAGTTGATTGGTCATCTATCCAGGGTCTTTGTCAGTTCTGATGGCTCTAACAGACCAATCTGTAGTTGGGGCGCTAATGTTTTCAAGCAGGATGGAGGTCCATCCTCCTAAGCACATTCCAAGCTATACTGTATGTAAACTAATAATCTATAATCAGACTGGGTTGTTTATGTGCCTTAAGATAGGCCATTGAATCATTTTGAGTGTGCTTTAATAATTTCAATTCCATGATCTGACTGTTCAGTTATGGTTTTTCCCTATTAACAAAAAGGGATTCCTTTACCCCTACTTCAAACCATCTGTCCTTTCTGTCCAAAGTCTGCACACTTAAGTTAAGAAAGGTGTCTCCTTGGTTCTTTAGGTGCAAGTGTACACTTGAATCTTGCTGAGTGCTGCTTGCTCTCCTGTGCCGCACCAAAGCATTTGTATAATTGACACCGAAAAACAGCTACACAAGGACACACCTTTGATGAAAAAAATGTAAATTTTTCGAAAGAAATCACAGATGGTTTAAAAGTGAGGAAAATGAAGCCAATTTTATTTAAAGGGAAAATCCATCACTGAACAGAATGGGAGGATTGAGGTTTCAGCCTCCAATCATCTACAATTTGGTCATAACTATTTCCAAAGAATTTATGTAAGTACACTCATCATGATTCAAATGGCCTAACTTATAGCCCATACACAACAAAAGCCCCTAACAGCCCAGGTGAATGATGGATTGACCACTGAAATGTATCTGACTCTGCATGTGCTTAGAAGGATGCGCTTCAATGCTGCACAAAACATCAGCGCTCCAACTACAGATTGCTCTGTTGAGAGCTGAGAGAAATTACATGAACTGTTAGATAAATGTTAAAACATCTTCAGAAAAACTGGGCAAAAGCCTGGTTGACTCTAATTTAAACATACATAATTAATTTTTGAAATAAAGCCACTGTTGAAAAAAACAGTATTATTGAACAAAGTGATATTAAACTGGTAAATAAACAGCTAACATATTTATGATGGACTAAGTGCAGCTCTGTGACACATCTGTTATATAGAACAACTGGGGTGTTTCTGTTGTAATAAGATAAATGAAATCTTTTTTCTCTCTAATATCAATGAATCTCTTTTATTTAAGAGACTAAATGAACAAAAATATTTTATCAATTAAAATAAATTCTATTGCTTCTTGGCAACTACTAACCTTCTGCTCCGTGTGCAGGAAATTGGTAAGCTCCTCTGCAGTTAGATGGTCCTTTCTGTCACTGTATGCCATCATAAGCAGGAACAGGTCCCTTCTTAGAGACATCATCTTGTAGAAGACAGAGAACTCCTCGTACGTCAGTGTACCCTGCTGATCATCGGTGTCTGCTTCCTGAAAAGTTGAGCAAGTGGTGAATTCTAATTGGCAGATCTATTTACTTTATTTCAAACTGTTTTATTTTCAAGTTATATAAAATAATAACTTATCATCACTGGTAATTAAATAAAATACATTAGAAAACATTAATCCTTGACATAAAATCAAAACTCAACTGTTTTCTATTTAACAGCATAGTTTCATGTGTGATACAAATGAGTATTTGCACACCATCTGACTCATCTGGAAGTCTGTGTGTCATAGTAAAGAAAAAACGATTCCCTTCTCATGAGAAATCAGTAAACATAAACTCAATGTCACTACGATTAAGTCAAGGGAAAAATTAGGTTGATTCAGTCTGACAGAGAGGCGATGAGGCTCCAATGTGTAAAGTCTAACTTAAAAAAAAAAAAAAAAACACACAAGAAACAAATTAAAGAAAAAACAAAACTGATCATCATAGAAAAACTGCAGAGGGCAGATGAAAACTGAATCGGATAAAAAACAAAATCGTTAAACCTACAAAAAGAAATACTTTTTCCTGAACAGAAAGGGTCATTTCTCCAATTTCTTTTTTATATTTTATGATGCTTTTTTGTTTTGCTTTTTGGTGTTAAACTACAACTACAGCAATATATTATTGTAAGCAATGAACTAAAATGAATCCCTTTGACAAAACTACATTCAATCATTCAGTTATACAAGTGTATCTCCCTAATTCTCCGGGTAGTTTTTTTTCTCGTTTCCTTTTTAACATTAACATAAATGCTACCAACAGAAAAGCAAATTTTACAAGCCTTCTGCATCCAGCAAATATTCTAAACACAAATTATTTTTCATTATCTAAGCAAACCTTTTAACAAACCATTGAACCAGATGGCTGATTTTACTCTACCAATTTGCTCCAACTAGCATTTAGAATCTCATATTAGCTTTCTCTCATTGTGTCCTTTCGACTCCACACCAACTAACCTAATAACACAAAGAATTCCTTCCAACATGCTCTCATACCAATAAAATAAATAATAATATCTACTTAGACAATGTGGAACGAATTCTCTATCCTTCTTTCTCTCATACACACCCACATACGACTGGGACTAACTGGGATTCACATTGATTTCCATTGAATTTACATTAATTTCAATGACTTAACCCTGACTTCAAACCTGGCCCCATGCCCTATTAGTAGAAGCCTAAACGTAATCCGAAAACAGCCCTTTTTTTTTTTCCTAACAATGTCGTGAGGAAGAAAAAGTTGGAAAAGTAGGGCTAGAATGCTAGAACCCACACACACACACACACACACACACACACACACACACATATTTTGAACACAGCAGGATAAATCAGTCCGATGGACTTGGAATGTGTGGACAGAAAATAAACAGATTCTGGGTATTTTAGGCTACACAAGCTGTTAAAATGGCAACGGTACTGTCTATCAGAGCATAAACAGAAGAATATAAAGTGATAACTTTCTCAGGCTGGTATAAATCCAAGTGTGTTATTTTATTGTGTTATTTTACACCAGGATATAGGAAGAAAACACACAAGGATATTTTCCTTGTTGACTGAATATGTCTTTAAGTTTTTTTTTCGGAATACCTTAAAGATAGCTTGGAAAGTAGCTTTCAGAGTAGTATTGACTAGGGCTGCAACTAACAATTATTTTGCAAATTGATTATTCTGTCGATTATTTTATCGATTAATAATCAGATAGGTTTCTTAAAGAGCATTTTATTACAAAAGGAAACCGGGTGAAACTAAAACTTTTCCACTTGAGTTCTGGATAGAGCATATTGACAGAAGAAAACGTTTTTTTTGTTTGTTTTTTTTTATTGTAAATGTAAAATCTTTTTAGATTTTAATATAATTACTGCTTTAAGTGGGTTGCTCTGTCAGCTAAAGGCATGTTTTAGAGTCTTTGTACTCCAGGTAATGAATAATTGATTACTAAATTAGTTGATTATTTCAATTTTTGATTAATCACAATTAGTCCGATTAATTGATTCAACCCTAGTATTCACATCCTTTTAATCTTTCCTGAGTCATTAAGGTTGTTTGAAACATTTTGACCATTTCAAAAACTTACATTCCACATTGTCTCTTACTTGAATTAATACATTCCAAACTCTTAGTCCTATCTCACTATTCCTTTAACATTAAGAGCATATTTAGGACTTCTAATAAATAAAACTCCACTCCCTGAACCAAAATAAACATGACAGCGCCAGAAGACACACTCATAGCTGTCACATCTGTTTTTGTCAGAATCAACAATTTCATCTCTAAAAGATGAATAGCAAGAGCCTGGGATTTCTCTTGGTGTCTGCTGCTATTTAATTTGTTACCTAGATTGGCTAAAACCGCATTTTTCTAGGTGGACACTTCGCTTAATTAGCTCAAAAAGGTTAGCTGAACCTCGAGCAGTCGGCAGCCATTTACTTTTGATAGACATCATAATGACAAATTGTGCTGTCTTTTGCTTAGATTTTTTTTCTAAAAGGTTTATTACCTTTTATTGCTTAACATTAATTAATCCACCTACTGCCACTGTTTTTTAAACAACTAGTTTGATTGTTTGTAAATGATTTAAGATAAAAACCTGGTAATTACTAGATTGCTCTTCCTGAGACTTGATGCAATTTAGGGCTGAACAATTTACCAAAAATCAACATTATTATTATAAAGTCTCCTCGAAAAGGCTTTTGAGTATGCTAAAGAT